TCTATGTCCAATTACATTCTTTGTTTTTCCATTACTCTTCCCATAGAGTCATGTTGGCACAGTAGGAAATTCCCTGAGCAAATTCATCCCAAGTGGCTCTTCAGACTCAAATACAACCTTATAGTGTTCAACTAAAATAAACAGGTCATTGTCATCTATTAAAATAATGGAAAGCTAAATGTCAGACGTACAGCTTAACCATTTGCACCAACAACACATTTTACTCCATATTCCTCCTTAAACCTTGTCGAAAGGGTTTACTTTCTTGGACAGGAAGTAAAATTCATTATCCCCTGCAAACATTTAAACAAAACTGAATAGTCGACACTATGCAAATAAAGCCAATTTTTGTATTCATAATGGACAACGCCCTGCTGTTTTAACAAAGTTGTTGCATATACATTTGTATCCTTTGAACTGTGCTCAACCAAGGAAACACAGCAAATGAGCCCATTTCAAATGGTCTCTTCATTTGGTGCACTGTTGCTGGTGGCCGGAGGCTAGTCTTTGAGAGGCAGGTTCTGACACAAGTGCTGTATGTGAAACTGCTGAGTGTCATGGTGGATTGTTGTTTTCGGACTTGGTCCTTCCCTCAAGTTAGCACATTTCCTGCAGCTACCACAACCAACTAAGCCTCAGATTTATAGATTTCTGTCTTCCTTCTTGGTAGCACACTACGAGATCAAGAGGTGGTTGAGATGCTCAGCAAACCTACACCTCCTAAATCCATTCCTAGGATCTGCAGGAAACAAAGATGATTTGCAAGCACTCTAAAAAAAACCCAACGTCCCTAAGAGATATGTCCCCTTGGTTTTCTCAAGGAAATTGAAATGTATTTTAGTAGCATATTTGTTCAGTAAGTTCTTTAATGGCAAACACTAAAATAAAAATCTGTCAGTTGGACTTCAAAGCCATCAATAGGCCTTAAAACCTTATACCCGAACTGAATGTGTGACCATTTGTGGTAGAAAGCTATGTGTCTGCGATCTGATGAAAGGTCACAGAGCTGAACTTTTAAATCTGTTTTTCTCTCTGTCAGTGCTGCAAAACCAGCTGAGTATTAGCAAAAGTTTGTGTTTTTTTTTCAGATTGCTTGCACCCACAACATTTTTCTTTTGTATTGGCTGAATGATTAGTTCTGACTGTCTTCATATTCACCCTGCGATTGATCGCAATGTTGCATATTGCTAGCCTCCAATCCAAAGACAAAGAAAGAAAACAGAGTTTAGTTACCACTGGATATTTCCAAATCCAGTACAAGTTGGTTTACTTGTGCAAATCTGAGAAATTCCACATGGTCATCATCAATACTAACAGTTGAACTCCAAAGTAACAACATAATGTATGTCTGGGCTAATGCTGGTACCTGCCCATAATGCCCATTGATGCTCACTGTATCAACCATCGGAACATCAGCATTCTAGAGCAACCACAGGAAAACCAGCCCTACGGAGTTCTGTGGTTAGCAGTTCCCATCACCACAACCGCATTGCCATTGTCATCTTAAAATGAACTTAGTAAATTACTGTTTGTGCAATAGATTTTATTAAGCCTGTCTCTAGAAGGGCTGATTTTGTTTTGCACAATACAATTGCCACTTTGTTCCCCAAACCAGGAGATTCATTGACTCAACATTCTGGATAAAACACTTCATAATTTCACTAAAAACTGAGGTTACTGTTGCCATGGTGCACTCTCCCCTCAAACTCCAGGAAAACAAAACAACACTTCAATAATTCTTTTTGCAGAGAAATGTCTTGTAATGTCTGCTGAAGACAGGAGACAATGTTATTTTTAATTTCATTTTGTTTGAAATGAAAGCAGCCGAGGGGATGAGCACAGCCCAGAAACTAGAACATATAATAGAACTGAAGTGAATATGCAATTAACGAGACACTATGACTTCCTTTCATTTTGAATATTTGGTAAAAGTAGAAAATATCAAGTGATGGTATTACATGAGTTGTGTGATTTACTACAAACACTCACCTAGCAATTACCACTGGTGTTGTCAATGAACAAAATCTAACACCTTCACATTATATTCTTCTTCTCTCTATTTTCACGGAGGATTTAGTTCATTTAAGACAAAAAGGGTTGCTCCTCATTCGAAACAATGAAGAGAAGATTGACGTTATATATTGAGTATGAAATGAGCAATTTCAACAACAACATTTTCTGGATTTTTTTTTCATTGCAGAATTTAAACAGTGGTGTGCCATTAATAGAGACCTCTCACCCTTATCCTTTGCATCTTAACATCAAGCTTAAATATCATTACCACATGGTCACTGTAAAAATTTTAATTACTGTGATAACATTTCCAAGGCTCATGGGATATCACAAATTAATCTCCCTTTGAAGCTCTTTCAGATGAGTTCCCTTGGTAACAGAGGCAATGAACTGCCTAGCTGGAAGTCACCACCTGAGCCCTGTGTAAATCAGACCCAAAAAGTACCCTCTTGTGATGTAAAGGTAGTGTCCCTACCACTAAACCAAGAGACCCTGGTTCAAGTCCTACATGCTCCAGAGGTGTGTAGTAACATCTCTGAACAGGTTGATTAGAAAAATAGATGAATTTTTTTTAAAAAAAGGCAGACCTATGAGGGCTTTTGTGGCGCATTGGTAGTTTCCCTACCTTTAAATCAGGAGACCTGATTTCAAGTCCCACCTGTTCCAGGGGTATTTAATAACATCTCTGAACAGTTTGACTAGGAAAATAGGTTAAAAATTTGAAAAAAAACACAAAGCAGACCCGTGTCCAGGCTGTGGGGGGGATCATACCTGCTTACACAGCCTTCTACATACTCACTCATGGATGCAGAGAAGTGTGTCTATCCCTCTAACTGAACTGTCACATAGAACCATCACATTCCTATTAATATCCCCCCCCGGTTAGCTTGAATGGCTGTTTGTATCATGGTTCCATAGTCAGTTCATTCATCCACCCTGAGCAACATCTTTTAAAGTTTTATTGATTTTATTTAATTTGTGTCTAAATATCTTTTTTCTTGGTTTTGTTTAATATTTTGCATATAGCTGTTAAAAAAGTAATATCAATG